AGGAATCCAAGACACCTGCTTCGGTATAAAGTGTTAATCCACACAAGTGTTCTGTTTTGGGAGGGATCAAAATAAAAACTGCATGCTTACTCCTTTTCCTAAATTTAGGATTTCCCGGACGGGAGGAAATGTGATCTAGGATTACCAGCAGCTGTCCTCGTTCTTCTTGGGGACCTTGTGCCCACTGGGTCAGAACTGGTGTCTGTCCTGTCCTTTTACTCGTCTGTTTAGAGCAGTGTGATTTAAGGTGTCTCCCATGAAGCTGTGAGGCTTCAAACCAGGTTGTCTTTGGCGGATTAGCCAGCTTAGATTAGATTATTTGTGGAAGTGTCTGCATTTCTGAGTGCTGGTATTTGAGGACTCTCCAGTTATTGGTTACCTTTAGGCTGCAGAAATTTGTCCAAGACCCCATCAGGCATAAAGTGAATAGTTTGTGTTTAATGAAAGAACACATTTCTTTAATGAAAACTTCTTGAAGTTCTTTTTCAGTAACTTATTAGAAAAGCAAATGACAGCCCTAGGAGAGACAGGGTTTTAAAAATACTGTGACACCCATCGGGAGCAAGAGTACCCTGGGAAAAAAACTGAAGTGTGGCTAAAGTGCTCCCTCTTTAGAATCAATTTTTGGGGATGTTTCAGTTCCTGTTCTGTATTATGGTGTGTTAGTTAGGTTTTAATTCTGGCTTGAGAAGTGGCATTACTAACTAGGTCAAAACGGTTCCAGAGTGCAGCTCTTCTACACTTGAGTATTTCAGCGTGATAAGACTGGCTCTGACAGGATGGCCGTGCATAGGACACTCTGAAATATTTATTGGAAGTTTAGTTTTGGGGTGAAGTCTTCAAGTTTTCCTCGTAGTTTGAGCCTGTGGTCCGAGTTCTTCATTGATGACCTGCATGATGGAGTGGGCTGCACCCTCAGCAAGTTTGCAGATGATACAAACTTCATCTGTCATGAACTGGAAACTGGATGAAGTGGCTGGGTGAAAACTAAAAAAAAATGATGCACCAGGTGGCTGCACGGGCAGAGGGGAGCCTCGTGAAGTTCAACACAAAGAGATGCAAAAGGAAGAGTAACCCCAGGCACCCCAGGTACAGAGAGGGGGTCAGCTCTCTGGAAAGGAGCTTCGCAGAGCAGGTCCTGGGGGTCCTGGTGGACACCAGAGTGAAGAGGAGCCTGCTGTGTGCCGCCATGGCGGAGGTGGGCACGGTGTCCTGGCTGCGTCAGGGAGAGCGTTGCAGCAGGTCGAGGGGATCCTTCCCTGCTGCGCAGCACCGGTGAGGCTGAGCCTGGGGTGCTGTGTCCAGTGCTGGGCTTCCAGCAACAGAAGGATGTGGAGTTAGTGGAGCAAGTCCAGCAAAAGGCCATGAAAATTTGAAGGGTCTGGAGCATCTCTCCTGTGAGGCCTGAAGGGGCCTGCGAGAGAGCTGGAGAGGGGCTTTTGGCAAGGGCCTGGAGTGACAGGACAAGGGGTGATGGCTTTAGACTGAGAGAGGGGAGATTTAGATGAGATATGAGGAAGAATCGTGGTATCATAGAATGGTTTGAGTTGGGAGGGACCTTTAAAGGCCATCTAGCCCAACCCCCTGCAGTGAGCAGGGACATCTTCAGCTGGATCAGGCTGCTCAGAGCCCCGTCCAACCTGGCCTGGGATGTTTCCAGGGATGGGGCATCTCCCACCTCTCTGGGCAACCTGGGCTGGGGTTTCACCAACCTTGTCATAAAAAATTTCTTCCTTACATCCGGTCTAAATCCACCCTCTCTTAGTTTAAAGCCATTGCTCCCTCTCTTATCGCAACAAGCCCTGCTGAAAAGATTTTCCCCATCTTTCCTGTAGGCCTCCTCCAGGCCCTGGCAGCTGCTCTAAGGTCTCCTCGCAGCCTTCTCCTCCCCAGGCTGCCCAGCCCCAGCTCTCCCAGCCTTTCCTCCCAGCACAGGGGTTCCAGCCCTCGCATCATTGCTGGGGCCTCCTCTGGCCCCGCTCCCACAGCTCCAGCTCTGTCCTGTGCTGAGGGCTCCAGAGCTGGACGCAGGACTCC